ACTTTTGTAAATAATAATTGACACTAAGATGCAATAGTTTCCTGAACGGTGATAAGATATAACTCTAAACTTGTAGAATTAATAACTGCAGAACTTGACAACAGACTTCTATCAAGTTTTACTTTGAAAAGATGTTGAAGTATATGTATTTTTTAAATACAGAAAGTAGCATTAAAAACAATTGAAGATTTTGTTGTATAATAATGAATTTAAATGACATCCAAATTGTAAAAGCAACAAACGCATCCAATATCTGTGCTTTCAGTATTCAAATCATTCTTCAATATTTTTTCAGCAATTCCAACTACACTAATTAATAGTTTAGTCTTTTTTTTCCTATACTTGGTTAGCCACAGTTATGAAAAAGAAAAAAATTCTTACTGAATGAAATTTGCTGCAACTGTTTCGTGGCGTTACAGTAAGATGCTGGTTGAGTTCCTCGCTAAGTGTTTCAGTAAATTGTTTGACAATGACGTCAGCAGACACATTATTAATATTCTTTGAACAAAACTGTCGCCAGTTCTCGGCAAATTTAAGTGCCACCGATTTTGCATACTGCACGCAAAATTGTCGCCAATTTTCCATATTTTCAACTGAATATACAAAAATACATTAGCATTTAAAATCTTCAACTTTTTCTTACAATTTCTAAAGTTATCAATTTTTAATTTTTATACTACTGCCTGATTCACTTTTTTTTTTTTTTTTTGCTTTACTCTTTGTTTAAAAAATCAGATTAAATTACTTAACAATTTAGAAAAAAAGTATTAAAAAAAAAGTTATTTTTGTTAAGTCACAGTCCTAAATGACATTTCTTGAAAAAAAAAAAAAAAAAACAGATTGCAGGGCAAAATTCATAGACACCTACTCTCCATTTCATATAGTTTACAATTAGCATTCGTATCGAATGTTGTATTTCCTAAACCAAATGCATGAATTTACTATGCAAAATAAAAATATATTTTACAGATACCAATCGACGCTTAAACAATAAATAATTTTTATTAATATCAATAAATTAAAAAAGACATTTTGAATAAAAAAAAAACTGAAATTCTTAAAAAGGAACGAATAAGCAACAAAAAAAAGAAACGATGACTCTGAAAGTTGTGTTAACTCAACAAAGACAAAACCATAAAATTGCAGAAATAATTTTCTATCTCCTTCAAAACAAATAGAAACAACTAATAATTTAACATTAGAAAAATTATGATTTCTTCCTTTAAAAAAATTTATTTCAATTTTTGCTGCATTCTTAGAACGATATAACATTAACTGCAACAGAAAGATGATTTTCTGACCAGTTTACAATTCTTTTGAATATTCTTTTTGACAGTTCCAGATAAATCTCAAAAAAAAAATCTGCATAAAAAATAATGTTTTCTCTCATCAGAAAGTAACCTCCCAAAGATGAATGCTTTTTACACTTATTTTTGGATTAGGCAATACACTCAAACTGAAAAAAAAAAAAAGGAGAAGCTAAAGTGTTCTATTTTGAGTGCGCTCCTTAAACTGAGAACCTTACCTGCTACCTATTTTTGCGCTGCCATACAATGTCGTAAAATATAGGATTTAACAACAACCCCACCTTTACAAAAGAGAAGCGTAGAATTCAGCTTCTACTTAAACTTCCTACTTAACCATAATCAATACTTTTCCTTTAGTAGCTGCATGCATTTGTTCAGTATCAGTACTCTGCCTTAGTTAAGCTATAATTTCAGGTTTCGTAGTCTAATTCTGACAGACGACCAATATATCAGTAAGAGAGTTTTCAGCATTTAATTTTTTTCAAAAGTCTATTTTTGGCCCAGAACTTTACCACTTTTTAACTGTTTAAAAAGTTTACGTCAATTTCGATAAGTTTTAACTTTCTAAAAATCTCATACTCGTTCACCCAATAAGGTTTACTTAAGAAGTTGATCAGCTGTCTGCGTGGTAAAGTCAATATTTAGAGCTACAAATGTTTTCCATCAGGTTAAACACCGACTTGACAATAATTCCCATCAAAAGAAAAGTGATGCACCGCGTGATACCAGAACAGCAGAGAATTTGAAAAAAAAAAAATACTGGAACATTTGGAGAAGATTTCCGCGTAAATTAATATAATTACAAGGAAAAAGCCAGTAAACTGATTAGTGGTTTATAAAACAAAATTTGGTTAGAATTGAAGCGAAGTTTTCAACAGGCAAATGCTGAAAAATAACCAGAGTAGTTTTTTTTTTGGAAAATTTCTCTATGAAAACCACTTCTGAAACTTTAATGTTGAGTGTGCTGATCATTAAAAGACCAAAGCTTAGTACTTCAAGACAATTAAATGCATAAAACATACCTCGTAACGTTTAAATCTACAATAATAAGCTTAAAAAAGTTTTCCTCCTTCTGTAATTACCATAATTTTCTTCTAGTTTCGGACACTGGCAAAGCTTTTATGACTGACATTCTTCATGTGATTAGAAAAAATAATGCTTTTTTTTTCTACACTTTTTAAAAGCAAAATTTCAGTGTGGTGAAAACAGTTTCACAGATGCTATGATCTATGTTAGCACAGTATGCAGCCTGTTACAGGTAGTTCCGCAGTAGCATTTTCAACAGCACCAAAACGGAATCCTCATGTAACGGTATCTAAATTTCAAAATCCTTTTCACGCTATAAACTCCATATTTAGCACAACTAATATAACACTGATAATGAGGTATTAACAAATAACCAGACTCAAACAAAAATTGAAAAGCATTTTTTAGTTATCTTTCCGGAATATTCACTGAGAAAAAAAAAAAAAAGAAAAAAGAAAACACAGAAGTCGACCAACAGAAGAAAAAAAATAAAACTGATGAAATCTTTTAAAATGGCTCTTAGAAAAAA